GCCTAGCGGTTGGCAGTGCTGCTGGTCTGACAGCGTTTCCTCACCCATCAAAAAAATAAAGGTGATTTTATCCTGTCTCCTACCCACATGCTGGGAAAAGCCCCTCACCCTTTCTGGAGCAGCAGAAGAGGTCGGACTCGAGGCGCTTGGGGGTTCAGGCCGTCCCGTGCGTCCTTTGCTCATTTTCTGCCTCCAGTGCTGGGCCTGACTCCCCGCTGGGAGCTGGAAAGGGAGAGCCAGCCGGGGCTCTCTTAAATCCCACCCAACCCGTGCTGGGAGGAGAGATCTTGATAAAGAATCAAATTTCCTTTTGTTTTTTTTCCCCACAGTTTAGAGATGATCAGCCTCCCGGAGCTGGTGCCAGGAATCCCTTCAGTGACACTGCAGAACAGACCCAGCCCTGACGTAGCAGGTATTTCCGTGGTCCAAGCACGAGCAATTCTGCTTTGAATAAATAGCTGGAAACCTCTCAGGACTCCTCCGATCCCTGGTCGGGACTGAATGCCTCCCACTCTCCACTGAGCCCCAAGGCTGTTTACCCACACCCTGTGTGTCAGTGCCGGGTTTTTTCCAAGAGCCAGCAGCCAAGTGATTCAAGCAGTTCCCTCACATGTCCCCAGTTGCCTAAGGGATGGCTGGTCCCCTGATATCCCCCACTGCCACCCTGGGGAGGCTGGCAGAGCCCAGCATGGGGGCCTCTGGGGCTGTGCACACAGAGCAGAGGGGAAGGGAGCAGGTTTGGGAAGAGCTTTATTGGGAGATCCTGGCCACAATAAATAGCGGTTACACTGGGAGATGGTGGTGAGGGGCCAGGGGCTGGAGGCACGCTGTGCTCCCATGGGGGCTGGAGCTGCTGCCACCCCTCCGAGCAGGACATCACCCTGCATCCCGTCTGCCCTGTCCCGCTCCTTCCTCCCAGTGGCGAAGCCGGCCCAGGGGCCACTGCCTGCCTCCCCTCTGGGGAGTGGGGCGGGCAATAACCCAGCAGAAAACGGGGCAGAGAGTGTTTCAGGGAGTGGTGTGGGGCAGTAGAGGGTGCGAGGGCAGGGCCATGGGTGCGGCAAGGCCCCACCGTCACTGCGCCAGGGCCTGGACGATGTCTTTCACCAGCATGGTGCCGATAACCATCTTCTCGCTGTTGACGGTCAGCTGGGCTGCGGTGCCCTCCCGTCGCTCCAGGGTGATGAGCACCAGGCTCCCGCTGGTCACCGTCTTGGCCGCGAACCTGCCCACCAGCATGAACACAGAGCTTCAGGGTGAGCTGTCCCCCTGTCACCCTACGGTCCCCTGGGATGCCCCAGTAGGGACCAGGAAGGTGTCTGCCATCTGCGGCCACCACCATGTGTGGGTTCATGCAGGCTCCTTGTCCTACATGAAGCCCTGAGCATCCCCACTGTGATCCGGGTGGGAGCAGAGAGGTGACAGTGCCTGCCTGGTCCTGGTGTGGGGGTCTGACTACCTGTACTCATTGTCGGCACCGCAGGGCACGCGGCCCACGTTTGCAGCCGAGGTCACTTGCTGGACGATGGCGTGGTCGCTCTGGCATTTCTCGGTCAGCGTCAGCTTCTCCGTGATCTCGCTCATGCCCGTCAGCTTCCCTGGAGCAGGCAGCAGAGGCACCTGCCTGTCTCTGGCCAAGCACCCAGAGGCCACGTGCCTGACAGGCCCTGTTTTGCCATCCCCAAACCAAGCCCCTCCAGCCGCCAGCTCTCTGTATCCAGGTCCCCCATGACATCCCAAACTGTCTGCCTTGCATGCTCCTCTCTAGCCCGGCAGAGATGGTTTCAGGAAAACCCTTCTTCCACAACCCTTCTCAGGCTCGTCCCCGCGTCCCTGCCCAGCGGCAGAGTCACATCCCTGGGGATGGGCTTCTCCAGTCACCAGCAGCAATGGGGCCGGGTGCTGCAGGGTACTGAGCACCCACCACTCAGTGCAGACCCCTGGCTGCGGGGCCAGGGCAGGGATGCTGCTGCTCCGGGAGCATGGGGATATGGGGCCAGGGTGTCCCTGTCACTCACCAGACACAATGCTGGGAGCGCCAGGGGTGGCACAAGCTCTCCATGCAGTGTGGGGACCCAGCGGGGCCACCCTAGCCCTGGGGTGGTCACCCAAGCGGCAGTTGGCGGGGTGCAGGAGGGGGACGAGGGGAGCAGAACTAGTCTAGGGGCCGGCCCAGTGGCCACTTACCCTCGCCCAGCCGCGCAAGGTGCTCTAGGGCCATAGCGAGGGTGGCAGAGGGGACAAAATGGGAGGTGAGCATCGGCGCTGAGACGGTGGCTGCCCATGCGCTGCCCTGTCCCCGTCCCCCCACTCACCCTGCTCTTTCTTGAACTCATTCTCGCTCATGAAGACCGGGGCCATGAGCTCCCCCACGGGCGGCTGGATAGAGACGTAGAAGTGGCGCGTGTGGGTGCTGGGGAGACAGGCACGTGAGAGGGCCACATGCTCAGATTGTCCTCCCCTCCCCATCCCGCTTCCCGTCCCTGCCCTGAGCAGGGGCTGGCTGGAGGGAAACTGAGGCACAAAAGGCCTCAGGAATAGGGGGAACCCATTAGGCTGGACCTGGGGCTGCCGCTGCCTCCTTGTCCCCTGCAGGGACCCCGATGCCTGTCCTGCTGTCCCCCATCCCTTGGAGGTACCCTGTCCCTCTGTCCCCAGGGGCACTCTATGCCCTCTCCTGCTGTTCTTCGTCCCCTGGAAGGACGTTGGTGACTGTCCAGCTGTCCCCAGTGCCCTGGAGTACCTCATATGCTGTCCCCTGGGGTACCCCATGCCCTGTCCGGCTGTCCCCTGCTGCCCCAAATCCCCTGGAGGGACATTGGCGCCCATCCCACTTTCCCCATCTCCTGCAGCACCTGTGCCCTGCACCGCTGTCCCCCATCCCTGGAGCACCCCACGCTGTCTCCATCCCCTGGGCCACCTGTCCTGTCCTGCCCGGCGCTGGGTGCTCACCACAGCTGGAAGTTGGCCGCCTGGGTGGAGTCACAGAAGTCAATGCCCATCACCACGCTGGCTGTGTCCCCTGGTGCCAGGTGCTCTGAAACCACAGGGCTGCCACCACGTCCCCTCCACCAGCCAACCCCTGTCCCCGTCCCCCCCCCCGCAGCACTGCAGCCGTGCCATACCGATCTCGGGGAACTCCTGGATCCGCATGCCGGAGAGCAGCTTGGGTTCGCTGACCCGCAGGCTCTTCACCTCGGCGTCGGTGTTGTTGGAGATCTGGATCTGGATGGCCAGCATGTGGGGGTCCCCCAGGAAGGGCCGGCGGCTGAAGCAGTACTCGACTGAGAGCCCCTCGCCCGCCATGCGGGGCAGCAGCTCGCAGG